CAATCCACAGTTCTCTATCAGAGAAAAATGTCCTATAATAACAAAGGTCGTTATAGGAGTAGAGGTGATGATAGCACAACCTTGAGAATATACTAAAAAACACTGAATTCTATACTTTACAAGGGTGAATTTTATATGAGTTGTATCTCAATTGAAAATCTTTAATGAAGCTAAAAATAAAAGTTTTTTTTCCAGATAAAACTCAATTTATCACCTGTACAAGGAGTGTCAAAGGATGTTCTTCAACATTAGAGGAAGTGATAACAGTTGAAACTTCGGATCCCTAGAAAGGAAAGATAATCAAATATGGAAAATATGTGGGCAATGCAGAAGTCAACCCCCCACTCTCCTCCTCTTCTTCCCCCTCCTCTTCCCTTTCCCCTTTTTGTTTTTCTTGGGGAAAGGTCTCACTGTGTAGCTCAGGTAGTCAAACTTGCTATGTAACCCAGACAGATCTCCTAGCATTTAAATAAATATTAACTGATAAAACACTACAGTGAAAATCCTGGCAGCACCCATCCCTTTGGTTAGCAGTTGAAAACCTGGTTAGAGCAGAGTCCTGAAATAGACCACACTTAAATGGCTAGTTAATTTTTGACAAAGGGGCCAACATTGTTTAATGATGAAAAGATATAGGTTTTTTTTCTTCTATAAGTGTTACTGGAACAACTGGCAATCTGAGAAAAAAATGAATCTTGACACCTCACATTGTGCAAGAAAGTTAACTCATAATAGATCATAGGCTTAAATGTAGAAGCTACAACTATGAAACTTCCAAAGGAAAAATAAGATATCTTTGTGACATAGGCATGGCATGGATTTCTTAGACAGGATCCAAAAATTTTATAAAATGAACCATCAAAATTTTAAATATTTTGCTTTTAAAAAGACATCCAGAAATTTTTAAGTTTTTTTTTTTTTTTTTTTTCTAGTACCGGGAATTGAACTCACAACCTTGTGCGTGCCAGGCAGGCGCTGTGCCACTGAGCTAAACCCCCAGCCCCAAGAAATTTTTTAGAGTGATGAAACTGTTTTAAATCTTGATTATGAAAGAGGTTTCATGATGATACATAATTACAGTACTAAAATGCGTCAAACTTTTCAAATGAATGAATTTTATTATATGCAAATTATATCTCAGTAAAATATGGAACTAGATTAGCTATATATTTTTTTTTGGTCTTTTTGAGACAGGGTCTCGTTATGCAGTTCAGGCTGTCCTTGAGCTCATTTTGTAGCCCAGCCTCGTCTGGAACTAGCAATGATCCTCCTACCTCAGCCTCCCAAGTGCTGGGACTACAGACTTGTGCCACCGTGCCCAGCTCAGCTGTAGATTTTTGATGCTCATATGTCTTAGTTAACTTTCCCTTTAAGCAAAATAATTGATCTATAAACTCTTTGCTTCTATTTCTTAGCAATTCCAAAGCAAAAGTAAAAGTAAAATAGGGTCAGGGTTAAATAGAGAATAATAATACTTTTATAACATTACCAGTCAAATAATAATTTTACTAAATAAAAAAGTTAATGTCTTTCATATTTTAAGGATAAAAATACATTAACCAAAGGAAGGTTATCTGACAATCCCAGATAACAGTTTTGAGGACTGTTGCTAGAATTAAGGTCTCTGTATCTCACCCTGAGTCACAACTACCTGGTCCCAAAATGAGATTAAGACAGTGAAGAAAAAAGATAAGAGAGTACATTAGGACAAGCATAATCTTTGATCTTGTACCCCCAACCGAATCCCTGTTCTCAGTGCACTGGGCTGGACCTGGGGGACCTGCTTGTTATGAGCAAAGGTCCCTTTGCCCTAAGCAGATACCATGTAAGCTTGTTCAGTGGAATTTCCCTCCTCTTAGGCAAGAAAAGGCCAGGAAAGATAAACTAAGGATAATCTTAAGGTAGAAAAGAGTTTGTTTTTTAAAAAATAAGCTCAGGGGTAATCTTCTTTGAAGTCTGACCTTTTTTAGTTGTCCTAGGACCTGGGACCTGAGGTCGGGGAGAGGGAAGAACTAACGTCAGGCTCTGCCTTACCTCACTAGCCACCTGAGGACAGTTTTGATTGAAAATCAATACAAAAGTAAATGAGACGAGCATGGAGCATGGCAGGACTAGAGAAGCTGAGGCAGGAGGATTGAAGCTGGGCTACAGAATGAGAGCCTGTCTCAAAAAAAGAAAGGAAAAAATAATGATAAATGACATTCTCAGCTATTAAGGCAGTGAGACAAGACGTTAAAGAGAATAAACCTTGAAGATACGAGAGCCACCTTCCTTTCTTTAGCTAATACACCAGTACAGAAAGAATCAGTGCCCTTCATCTGGAGTCCGTCAGTTCTTTTTTGTGGGATAGGAGGTTGCAGAAGCCTTGGGCTCCCATAGCAGGCAAAGTCTTAGTTCATATCAGAAACAAAATAATAGAGGTAGTAGATTCTGAACAAAAACAGCCCTTCACAGATCATCCAAAAGATCTTTGTGAATAACCAGGGTTTTCCAGGTGGTATATTTTGTAGAAAAAAGTTAATTAATTTGTAATCTCTTTTAATTTCCTGTGAAAGAAATTCTGTGGTTAGTGAACATAGGCTGTATAACGAAGGTAGTTCCTTATCTTTCCAGTCTAGCAGCGAGTAGAGATATGGGGGAGATACAGTGTATGTATAAAGCTTTGGAAATCTGAGCCTTTACATTCCTTAGTAAATAAAAGATGAGTCTTGATGGGGAGAACTAGTTATTTGTAGCATTTGCCTCAATTATGTCTTAAGATTTTAAAAATAATAACAGCCTTTAACACTCAATTATAAGAAAGTCCAATCATTATTTTAAAAATGTTTGTCTCCACAAGGTCCTGAGTTTGATTCCCAGTACCAAAAAAAATCTTTGTCTCTTTTGGGCTTTTAATACACTGCATTCTGCTCAACATACTAGAGGAAGATATGCTGTTGTGTGCTTAAAATACCACCTATGTTTTTGGTATTCATTTTAGATCCATACTTCTATCAATGTGAACTCTGCTGGCCATTATACATTGATTTGCTACCCCTATGAAATTATGCATTACTGGTTAAACTCTTCAAAGGCAGAGTGGTGGTCTCGAGGACTATGGGAAGGGGCAAAAAGGGGGTTTCTGTTCAGTGGATATAGTTTGTTTTGCAAGATAAAATAGTCCTGTTGCACAATAGTGTGTGCGTAGTTAACCCTTCTGTGCACTTAACAGTAGTTAAAAGGGTAATTATATATTTTATTGCAATTTTAAATTTTAATTAAAATAATTATATTTTTAATTTTTAATTTTTAACTAAAATTTTTATTTAGTTTAAGTTTGTAAAATGTTAAATTACAAATTCTAAATTTGTAGAATTTAACTAAGCTTTGAAAAGACTCTGAAATTACTTCCTTCCTGAAAATTAATTCTGGAAGTTCTTGGTTCAGTCTAATTTTCTTAAAGTTGTAGTGTCCAAGTATTAATGTATTTATAAAGATATATTACTGCTTATTGCACACAGCAAACACTGTATAACTTTCTTAAGGTAGATGAGGTATGAGGTAGATCTTCTATTTCTGTCATTTTATTACAGACATTTGTGAATATACAAAGAATTTGAAAGAACTGAATGTTGAACACCCTTATACTCACTATCTGTACTCCGCAATTAACATTTTGTTATATTTGTTTATGACATCTGCTCATACTTCTATTCACCCATCAATTTATTTTTTCTATTCTGTAATGTTTTTCAAAGTAAATTATAGGCATTAATGTGCTTTGGGTTAGGCTTTTTTGATTCCCATTGTACATTATTGGGAACTGAGAGACATAATTTGTTCAAGGTCACACAGCTTTAAGTGCTAGAACTAGGATCTGGATCAAGATTTTCTTCACCACTTCTACAGAATACTATTTCACATAATATTTGTATTTCAGTAAAAAGTAATTTTGTGGTGAAATAAGTTGAGCACAGTATCTCAGTCTTGAAGACCCATAAATCTGTGAGGTTCAGCAGTAGAGTGTTTAAAAGCCAACCATTTTTTTCCTGGTATCTTGTTTAATGAAGCTGTGTATCATTTCAAATTTTTTTTATTACTTGTTATTGTCTTTGTTTGATCTATCTTGCATTCTTACATCTGGTAATCTGAGCAACTTAGTTGAAGATAGCAATATGTAATATAACAACCACTGTTAATTCCTATCATCCTGTTTTCAAATCCTGTATTTTTTTATTATTTTGTTTGTGTCTTCATTTGTTGTTATTTTGTTATTTTTTTTTCTTTTCTCTTTAAAATAAAAAAAAAGCCAACCATTGTCAAATTTATTTGCCCAGCGCACTCTACTACCCAGACTTTCCCCAAGCCATAACAAGTATTAACGAACATCTCTTAAGATAGGAACAGAATTCAGTGGTATATACTGTGGGAAATGCTCAAGATATTTTGATTGAATTTAGGTCAGAATACATTTTCCAGTTTGTATTTTTAAATATAGTCCTAGATGTTTACAGCTAGTAGGATCTTAGAATTCAGTGAGGCCAGGGCTTTCGTTCTGGAAAGATACAGAGCATGCAGTTAACTAACACATACCAACTGCCCGTGGCTTTAGTGGCAGAAATGGAACTAGAACAACCTAACCTAGAACCCAGAGGTGTCATTTAGACACTCAGTAAATATTTGCTGAGTAAATAAATACATCTCCTAAATCTGCCCAGTTTTATTGTCCATGTATTATAATTTTTATTTTTAGGTTGTATTGTAATAGACATTCTGTTAATACTTTGTTAACCTTTGGTACAGATGATTCTAGTTACTAAATTCTTTAAAAAGTTTCATGGTTATTTAAAACATAGAATTGCACAAAACATAGCTATACTGCTTGATAAGTTATTATAAAGGGATTCCAGGTTTAAGAAATAGAACTTTGCTGGTATCTCAGAAATCTCTATGGGCCCCCTCCTACTGCTGAGCCACTAAATTATTTCTCTCTTCTTTATTTTTTTTTTCTTTTTTTTTAGCTAATTTAACAGGACATACAGAGAAGGTGGGAATTGAAAATTTTGAGCTCTTGAAGGTTCTAGGAACTGGAGGTGAGTTTTAAATTTTCTTTTCTTTCTTTCTTTCTTTCTTTTTTTTTTTTTTTTGTAAGAAGAAAAAAGTATTTCCTGTGACAAAGAATTGATATCCCCAGTACAGAAGGCATTGAAAAATCTTAGAAGCATGAGGAATTCAATAGAGACTGTCAAAGAATATAAAAATAGAATAAATAAATAATCTTTCTTATCTTGGGAATGTAAATTAGATCAACATTTATATAGGATACAATATTTTTAAAAATTACTAACATTTGTAGAGTTTGTTATATACCAAGTTTATTATATATCAAGTACTCTGTGAAGTGCTTTATATTGATTGATTTATTCAGTCCTCACTCAATATTATTGATATTGAATGTCCATCATTTTTAATAATGAAAAGCTCAGAGCTGTTCAGAAACCCAACACTAGGGGTTTGGTTCAATGGAATATGGATCTGTAAGTTCAATCATCTATATAATAGGGTTGAAATTATCTATATTTTTTTAATACTTTGGAAGGGTCTCTGAAAAGTTATAATAAGACTTTCAAAAAGACCATGAAAGAGAATGTACAAAATACCATTTTCATGATATGGACAATTATACGAATAAACGTGTACATGTATTATGTATGTGGAAAAATCCCTGGAATATATACCAGGTGGTAACAGTATCGGTCTCTGGGTGGTGGGGTTTTAGGTGATCTTCATTTTCTGCTACACACTTGCCTGTGTCTTCCAGAAACTGTCCGCCTCTGCTCCTCTGCTCAGAAGTCAGAACTGGCCTCGTGGGCATCTGACCTGTACAGTTGTAGAGATCCCCACACTTAAAAGAGCTCTGTATGTGGTACAGTGCTCTGCTGTCACTGTTCTGGAATTCTTAATTCATGATCGAGGCCCTGTATGTTTTCATTTTGCCAGTAATGTGGCTGGTCTGGTCAGGAATGTGCCTTTCCCTTCAGCTCTGCCCCTGGAATGCATGGCTCTGCAAGCACCGCCGCTGTAAGAGCTGGCTCTTCCCACTCCTTCAGATGAATGGGAGAGGAGGCTCTTAACTCTTCTTCCATCCTCAGCCAGCTGGGGCTTTTTCCCCAGAAGGGGAGGGAGGGCTTAGAGTACAGACCCTTTATTCCCCACTAAAGTTTTGTTTCACACCCTCAAGGATGTCCATACTTTCTAAATTTCCTAAGCTCTAACAGTGGATTATAGCTGTCCTTTGAAAGGTGTCTGCCCGTACCTTCTAAAATGCCAAAGCTTCCAGCAGGAGAAAAATCCTTTCTCTTGGGCTTCTACCAGCAATCCCAGCCACTGCCTTAGCCTCATGTGCGTGTATTTAAGTACACGTGTATACATTGTCTTTAGATCCTTTAGAATGAGTTTTCATACCTAGGACCTTGCTGTACTAGGTCTGTATAGACCTCCCTGAGTAGTTTAGTATTGTATGGAGCCAACGTGAAAGCTACCAGTGAGTAAGCCCTATAATTGCTCAACTATTGTTTTATTGTCTGAAAGTTTAGTGTCTGTTTTACACCTTTGGATCTTGTTTTGTTTGCAGTACTAGGGTTTGAACCCAGGGCCATAACATTGAGCCACACCCCAGCCCCTTTTAATTTTGGAACAAGGTCTCACCAAATTGTCCAGGTCCATCTTAAACTTGTGTTCATCCTGCCTCAGGCTCCCAGGATGCTGGAATTATAGGCATATGCCACCAGCCCTGGCTTTGATTTTAAGGATAATATTTTTAAAAAAGCAAAATTAATGCTACGTTTCCTTGCCTCTAAGAAAAAAATGCTTTCAAACTGAAAAAACTAGTCCTTTATCCCTACTTTTGTCTCCTGTTTTGAAGATACTATTTTCTCCAAGGGGCAAGAGGACTACAGACCTGTGGTGACTCAGTTCTCTTGAAAATAGTGTTTAAGACAGCAACAGGTTTCAGGACAATTTGTATTGTATCCACAGAATATGTTTTATTTGCATGGCTTTCTTTGGTAACATTATTAGCTATTATATGAATTATAATTTACATACCATACTGCTCACCCATTTAAAGTAAGCAGTTCATTGGTTTTAGTATATTCAAAGAGTTGTGCAGTGATCATCACAATCATTTTTAAAATTCTTTTTTCCTCAGAAGAAAATCTTTGAACCCATTCCTTGTCACTTCCCAAGCTTACCACTCCTCAGCCTAACTCAAACACTAAACTACTTTCTGTATCTGTATCTTTGCCTGTTCTGGTGTTACATCGTACAATACATGTTCTTGGTGACTGGCTTCTTCACATAACATATAGTGTTACCTAGGTTCATACATATTGTAGCAAGTGTGAGTGCATCATTTTCCATTTTCAAGTGTTTTACAAAAAGTCATGTGCACTTTTAAATATTTTGAATGTAAGGTTGTATAAAGTTATTTATTTTTTAGAAAAGTCATTGCTTTTATGGCTGAATACCTTATGGTATGAGTATGCCACGTTTTGCTTATCTGTCATCAGAGCTGTTTCCACTTTTTAGCTGTTGTGAACAAATGCTGCTGTAAACATTCGTGTGCAGTGTTTTGTATGGCTATATGCTTTCCTTTCTCTTGGATATATCCCCTAGAAGTGAATGACTGGTGCAGATGGTAGCCTGGTGTTTACCTTGTTGAGGAACTGCCAGCCTGTTTCCAGAGTAGTTGTACCATGTTACAGTTCTACCAGCATTATGTAAGCATTGTGATTTCACCACATTCTTCTCAACACTTGTCTAACTTTTTAATTATAGCCATACTACTGGATATAAAATGGCTAAGGTTAATTTATAAGAATAAAATACTTTAGTGCTTCCTGTTGTCCTGCTTAAGTGATTAAATTGTTCAGGCTAGCTCACTTGTTTTCCATTTTCAGATGTTTTACAAGAAGTCATGCATACATTTAAATATTTTGAATGCAAGGTTGTATAGAGTCTTTCTTTTTTAAAAAACAAATTATTCCAGTATTAAGTAATCCTTGATATGAGAATGGTCTTTTTATCTTTCTTTTTTCTATAGATTTGGTTTAAAGTTTGTGATACAGTATGAAATCTGTGATAAAAAATGTTATATGCATAAATTTAAGTTATAATCTGTACTGCCTGATGAGTTTATAGTGTCTTGGTGTTTTGAGAGCCTTCCAGGTAAATTTGAGTTCCAGTACAAAGCAGCTAGTAATTTTCCCACAGGAAATGAAGGGAAGTTGGACTTGGGTATTTACAGGGTGCCTTTAACAGTATATTTCCTGATGGACAGCCTAATGCCTAGCTGTCCAAACTATGACCAAGGAGTCCTTCTCACGGCAAACTTGTTTATACTGAGAGATGCCTTGCAGACTTTGTCTCAGCCATGCCTGGTTTATACCTACCTGGCCATTTTGCTGGTGCTTCATTGAATTTTTTAGCACAAAACAAAATCATGAAACTAATTCTGTTCCTCACTTTTTAAATTTTATGTATGGCAGTATTTTCTAATACAGAACTGGAAATAAAAAGGTAGTTTTCCCCTCTCCTGATTAGAGGACAGTTTAGATATGTTGGAAAAACCTCTTCCCTTATTAAACTCTTGATTTTAGAAGATACTGTTATGTTTTAAAGCTTTGAAAGTCTGAATACTGATGGTCAGTGTAGGTCACCTGGCAAGAATAAGGAAAAATCCTTAGAGTCAAAAAAAGAAAGTGGGAGTGGGAATCTAGAGAAGTAAATAAGTAGAAGGCAGAAATTATACTTGAGAAATCCAGCAGTTAGTTGTGAAGTAGTTCTTTTTTTTATTCCCTCCCCCTGTACCAGGAATCAAACTCACGACTTAACACTTGCCAGGCAGGCACTGTGCCGCTGAGCTAAATCCCCAGCCCCTGAACTAGTTCTTTGGATTTGACACTTTCCTCTTGATGTGAGAGACAGCACGTAAGGCTCCTAAGAGGTAAAGACAGTTAGTATTCGTTAAAGACTAAATGAAGAAAAAAAATCTTGTCTGCAAAGGAGATGACAAGGAAACTTCTGTGGCTCAGCATCAACTCCGGGTGAAGGAAACAGAAATGAAAGCCTTCGCTGAACAATTACAGCCATGAGCCAAGCATCATGTATGCATGTTTGAAGCTTGAATTTGAATGTACCTGTATATGGAAAGAAAAAGAAAGAAAGAAAGACCCAAACAAGTGTGAATTTAGCTTATTTCATTCTGCATGTTCTCAGGTGTGTAGCAAAAGTAAATATAAATTCTCTTTGAAGGAATAAACTCTTACCCAGGTCTTAAAGAACTACCGAAGAGTTTTACAGGTATGACCTTACAATTAAAAATCCAAGAATCAAGGCATTATGGGTGAAATGGAAACAAAGCTGAATTAGATCCAAAGAGACTATTGGACTTACTGGATGTGAAATATGATACAAATGCTTATATATTTACTTATTTTTATTAATTTTTTGTGGTGCTGGGACCTTACCCACACTAGATAAGCACTCTGCCACTGAACTACATCCCCGGTTATTAACTTGCCATTTTTTAATTAACTTATTTTTAATTGATGAACAATTGTGTATATTTTTCAGCTATAATGTAATGTTTTGCATTGTATGCTAACTGTGTAAAGATTCACTCCACCCAGTTAACATACTCATTGTCTCACTGACTTAACTTTTTTTGGTGAGGATGTTAAAAATCTGTTTTTGAAAAAGTCTTGAAGTACAGTGCAGTACAGTAGACTTAAAATTTATTCATCCAATCTCACTGAAACTTTATATCCTTCAATGAGCCTTAAGAAAAAAACATGCTAAAAAGCAGCAGTAAGGCACATTAAAAAAAAAAGGATATACTTACTACCTAGATCACCATAATACCACTTAAAGAACCATTACTAACTATATGTGAAAAAATAATTCAAATTATACACACAATGGATGGTTCCCTAGCAGATGAAGAGGAAATTAGTGAATTAGAAGGTAGATTTGAGGAAAATATAAGACATAGATAATAGAGAAGATACAGATGTGTCTAATCTGAGTTCTA